TAGTGCTAAAATTATTGATGCTCATTGCTCTATGGTGGAACAATAATGCCTAATGTAAAACACCTGTGAAAGCTTTCTTAAGAGATCAAGGAGGCTTGAACATCGTTTAGTAATAAAAAATTATGATAAGCTTCAAGTGATATCCCGGTAAGAATAAGAGCAATGCAATTAGTACATGAGTTTACCACATTAAGTCCTTTTTAAGGCCACTAATATAGCCCTTTTATTGAATATTGAATTGAATGATACAGAGGAAAGGAAGAAAACAATAAATGATGCGAGTCACGCCCAGGGTATGTCGCTAAAGTGTTAGTTCGGTCTTGTTTTCGCAACTATGTGGGAGCGCCAATGAGACCTTGTGGAATGTACCTAGTCCTGTGTCCTCTGCCATTGTATTCTTGGCTTCCAGCATTGGACCATCGGCTGGGTGAATTCTCAAACGTTTAGCTGGCACGATAGTCGGCATTGTTAGTGAGATGCGCAATCGTAAGCACAGACATAAAACTTATCAGTGACAAGTGAAGGCAATCCTCTTGACCACTTCATATTGTTTATCCACTTATTCATACAATGCTGTGCTCTCGTCTTCTCCAATGTCGCTAAAGAGTGTCTCTACGAGTAGGTTTAGTGAAGCGTAATCATCTCTATCACCGATACCAGTTGCTGTTCGCAGGGTTCCTGATCTGCCTCCCCTTTTTTTTCCCGTCCGCTTGTCAATTTTCCACATGTCAATATAAAAATCTGTGTTTTGTTGTCTGAAATCTGGCTGCCTAAGAGCCTTACATTACCGTCCTCGATTACGCTATATTGGAGGATTTAGAGCAGATGATGCCCATGTCCATGCCCATGCCACTGCATGGGAATCTTCCTCTCTCTAGGCTTCAAACCCATGACTCGGTTATCCTCTCCCTTATCTTCACCAACACTGTGTCTCATTCTTTGTGGCCCTGTGTCCGACTTAAGTCATAACTGCTGGTGTGAGAATGCACCGCTTCCATTGTTCTCCTTTCAATCGCAAAAAGCACACTCCTCTCGTCATTCATGTTGACATTCCCATCTGATCCTTAAGGTATTGGGATAATGTCACTGTGTGTGTGTTGGATGTTATCCCTCGTGGATAAACCTGTCATCAGTTACCTCCCTTTCCGACACAAATAGGAGAAATACACACGAGATTTACGTACACAAACTGGTGACCTTCATCTAGCCAACCAATACCTTTAGTCTTCAATTTCATATCCTACATCTCAGAGGCGAATCCCGTTGGTAAATTTTGGCCAAATCCACACACACACACACACGCATACACACATGGACATTATTCCAGTAACATAAGAATAAGATGAGAGTGTTGACTTGAGAGACGAGAGAAGTGTGCTATTTGCTATTAAAACTTCACCTGGTACCGGTGGTGGAAATGATTGCGCTTCCATATGCCAACTTGTAGCGACACACTCTTAGGCGATATTGGAGGAAACGAAAGCAAAGAATTGTGAATAAGTAGATTCGCCATATGAAGTAGGGTTGATACAAGAGAGGCAGCCCTAGAAGGTAAAGCAAAAAATAGGGGCGAGGAGTGATGCCACAATGGTTAAGCAGAAAATTGGTTAAGGGGATTGCCTTCACGTGCCACTTTGATAACTTGCAATTCTGTGATTACGATGGCGCCACTTACTGACGAGACCGACTACGATTCCGGCGAAACGTTTGTGAATGTACCTAGCCAATAGACCAATGTGGAAATCACGTTCTACAAGGTTTCCCTGACGCTCTGACCAAGTTGCGATTGCAAGATCGAACCAACACTACGAAGCTAAAGGAGAGTGAGGCCTAACAGAAGGCCACACTATCTTGGTACTCATATCTATGCTATTAAAGTTATGGACAAATAATTGGAGCTAAGATCTGGTTCCGCCTCCATAGCTAATACAAATTGACTCCTCCATAATTCTTGTTTTGTAATGGAGAGACATGAAGATTAGCCTACCATTATTTATCCAAGTAGCCTAGCCTTTCTTTAGATCACCTGGTTAGGAAAAACAAATCCTTTTGCACCTTCACCAACCAAATGTGTTAGAAAAAACGCATCGAGAGATAAAGTAAAGTAAAAGATATATAAACAGATTTAGCAAAAGCAGAAAACTTTGTCAGGTGGATACTAAGAAAACCCAAATTAGGTAAAGCAGATCAATTAAAACCCCATATAAGAATTAAAATCATATTTAAGCCTAGAAATAAGCCTATAATGTCGATTGCAATAGCAGTATAAAGAATCCGTACATAAATTCATCAGAGTATTTCGGATGAAAATCATTTTTTATTCTATACAGCAAAGCATTTCTCTGCAGGCCAGCATACCTCAAAGCAACCATGACGAACCAGAGTAATCTGATCAGCCGAATCAAGCGTAACGAAACCAGGGACGCGCTTTGCAAATCGGATAACGTTCTCGAGAATACCGTTGAAGCGTTTATGAAAGGCCAGCCAGCAAGAGGCACGCACCTCAAGAGATTTCTGTTGAGGGAGATGATCAATGATAGCTTTGCTAGGGGAAGAAGACTAGATGTGGATGAAAATGGCAGAGATTTAAATATTAGAAGGGAGCAAAACGAAAAGAAGGGAGAATAAGATAGAAAAGAGGTCAAAGAAGAGAATAAAGAATGCCATTGCAATTATAATAAACTATAAACAAAATCATCAAAGCCATTACAGAATACGACCAACCTCAGATACGGTGCATATTTGTCACATATTTGAACATTGCGCTGGAATAGGTATAAATAGCCAACGCCATTTAATCAAAAGAAACAAACCAATGCACTGACCAAGTCTGGAATCGGAATACCAAAGGTAGTTAATTCAAGCGAAAAAAAACATAATAATGCATATGGCCATGAAACAGAAATACACGGTTAACAGATTAATCTAAATAAACCTCGTTGTAACATAACATTGTCCAACTTCATTCATGGATGAGGATATTTAAATAATTAATAAGAAAATCCTCTAGAAATAGACGATCAACAGTAGTAACATAATATCTATTTAGGCTAAATAACTTTCCTATATTGAACAATTTAGACGAAAGCAAGTTTGAATGTAATCATCTATTGAAAAACTTAGAAAAATGTATTTTTACGGGGTGGAAAAAAAATGTATATACGAAAATTAGGTAGAATTCGGCATAAAGTGATGAGAGGATAATATTTTTAACAAACAAATTGTGCTAAAGAGGGAAAAGGAACGCGGTCATATTTTCCTTATTTTATTTTTTAAAAGGTTCCTGACCTACATTATGCCCATCCATTTTTTGCCCACCAGCTTGTCAACTTGCAATGACTAAACATCTAAATGAGTTTTTCGCATTAAGTATTGTTTCGAGACTACCAGTAACTCAGTAATATGAGATGTATTCACCAAATTTCGTTTAATGTGATAAAGGACTGGTAAAAGAAGAAATTTCCCACAATGATATGAGTTGAGCTGACGTTTTCATTGAATTTCACATAGCGTTGCTTTCCCAAAAGTTGTTCTCATCCAGGGTGGACTGCAGTTTCGACCTCGCATCGGCCTTATCAAAACCCTCAGCGAGAGTCGAACCGCGACAGTGCAGTATGATAGCTTGACACGCTAACCACTCGGCTACACTGCCAGGAGTGCCTTTGGGTCACAGGGCAAATGTGAATTTTAAAGGAATGCCAGGCCTTTCGCCATATCATACTAATGTTCATCGACAATCACACTCATATCATTGTGGGAAAATTCTTCTACCAGTCCTTCATCACCATAAATAAAATTGGGTGAATACATCTCATATCTAAATCAGTGTTTGGCTGCCTGAAAGCTGGCTGCATAAGAGCTTTACATTTGTGTCCTCGATTACGCCATATTCGAGCAGATGATAAAAAAATGAATTTGTGTAGGCATTGATTGTGATTGGAATAAAAAAAACAAAAGTAAATGAAAATAGAGAAGGTAACAAAATACAAATTAATAAAAAGCACATGTGCATACTTTTGCAGA